ATCAAACACATGCATTTGACACTTGCAAAACACAGCAAATCTCAAGCAGGCTAAATAAAAACAAACCTCCATCTAGACACACCACAGTAAAACCACATAACACAAAAGAGGCATCTAGAGACTAGGATTCCTTACATCACTTTCCTACTAAAAACCCCACCATGGCTTAGCAACTTTCCAGATTTCCATCCAATGACCATGGTCTACTTTCAAGAAAACAAGAACAGAATGACACTAATGGGCAGAAATGCTTAGTATCACTCTCGGTGACTGCTATGGTTGACATATTTTGCCAATTTGAGAAGTGTAAAAGTTAAGTGACTCATCAGGTGGCCAACATCCTCACTTTGTAAACATCCTCAGCTTGTGCAAGAGAAGAGCATGGAGATGACGTGGGCAGGTCGTCTGCTTACAATGGGAGAAAAAGAGGCTTGCTCTCCCCCTTTTGCTTTTGTTGCTTTTGCTGTCTTCTGCTACCTTGAACTGTTGCCCCTGTGCCATGCCACCCTGCTTTAGAGCCAGCTGATTATGGACTGAAACCTCCACAGACTGTGAGCTAAATAAATCTTTCCTTCATTAATTTTGGGAGTCAGGTATTTTGTCTCAGCAATGACAGAAAAGTAACCAAGACAGAATTTGGTACCAGAGAAGTGGGGTCGTCGCTGTAACTATACCTGACCATTTGGTCCAAGAGCCTTTGGGAATGGCTTGTGGGAAGAGTTTGGCAAGGTTTGGAGAGGATGACTGAAAAGTAGCACTGGAATGCCTTTGGCTGTTCTGTATGGGAGATCCTGATCAAAGCTCAGAAGACCAGAAGGTTGATTTGTATCAGCCAGTAAAGACAAAGTTTGGGAGGTTTCTGCTGGGAAGAAGGACTGCATTGGTTGCTAGACTCTAGATGATGTGTATTACGGCTTACCAGAAAGTTTGTCTGCATTTTGCTCATGTCCAGAGACTTTGCCTGAGATTCAGATAAAGGGCAGTGCACTGATTAATCTGGCAGAAGAAATTTCAGGGCAATCTAATTTTGGGGCAGTAGCATGGCTATTGTTGGGGGCTTTTAGCCAGATCTTTGTTGAGAATCAAGAGCAGAGAACCCAGCAGAATGATTTAAAATGTTGTGTTTGGCCAGAAGGGAAGCTCAAATAAAACTGTAGACAATGAAGATAGAGCACAGGACATCTTAATTGCTGAGGAGGAACAGAGGAATAGAAAAGATGGCCTGAGGGCATCACAAGAAGCAGGAATTCTCCACACTTTGCAGACTCAAAACTGCAAAGGTAAAAGACTGCTTTGAGAAGAAAGCCACAGAACACCATGTTCCAGAATAACAGTGGCTATACCATGTTCCAGAATGGTGGTGACATAGAAAATTTGTTCCTCAGAATTGGACTCAGAGTGCACAGAAACCTAGGCATGCAACCCCAACAGGCAAGAGAGGAAAGCCTGGCTCCAGCTGACAGCAGACCTTGACATCACACACATGGTGCTGGTTTAGGTGCATGCAGAATGCAAGACTTGTGCAGTTAAGGATTCCACCCTGGTTTCAGAAGGCCTGGGAGGTCAGGCAGTGTGTCCCTGAGAGAGCAGTGTGTGAGGCTGTGAGGAGGAAGCCAAAGATGCAATGGAGACCCCACAAGTTTGGAAAAGCCAAGTACATGGATTGTCTGAGAAAACCTGTAAGGAGGGAACTGGCCCAAGAGAGAAGCCATGGGCACTACAACCACCAGAATGGCCATAGGGTGGAGTTACTCAAGCCCTTTGGAGTTCACAACTTGCCACAGATTGCCTCAGATGTTTTCCCTGCTGGATTTTAGACTTGCTTTCATCCCATTCCTTTGTATCTCTGTTTGTAACTTTTGGAATGAAAATGTTTATCTTGTGCCATTGAATACTGGAAGTGTTAAACTTTGTATTCATTTGTACAGGGGCTTGCAGCTAAGAGTTTGCCTTATATCTCAGAGGACACTTGGGACTTGGACTTTTCAGCAGTACTGAAACTGTTAAGACTTTGGCAGCTTTTGCAGATGGACTAAATACCATTTGTATAAACAGATGTGCATGAGTCTTTGAGGGGGCAAGGGATGGAATATTATGGTTCTAATTCAATATAATGTTGACAGACTTAAGACTGATTTTTAAGGATTGTTAAACCTGTGTTACAATGTTGACACTAAGCATGTCTTTGTATGTCTTTCAACCTGTTTAAAGAAATTTATCTGTTGCTAAATTGACAAGGGGTGGATTGCTATGATTGATACATTGTGTCAATTTGAGAAGTTTAGAAGTTTAAGTGACCTCCTCATCAGGTGGCCAAGGTCCTCACTTTATAAACATCCTGAGCTTGTGCAAGAGGGGGGCATGGAAATGGTGTGGGCAGGTCACCTGTTTACAACAGAAAGGAGGAAAAGAGATTCCCTCACTTTTGCTCTTGTTGCTTTTGTTGTCTTGTGCCACCTTGAACTGTTGCCCCTGTGCCCTGCCATCCTGCTTTAGAGCCAGCTGATTATGGACTGAAACCTCCACAAACTGCAAGCTAAATAAACTTCTAAGCTAAATAAACTAAATAAACTTCAGCTAAATAAACATTTCCTACCTTAATTTTGGGCATCAGGTATTTTGTCTCAGCAATGAGAGAAAAGTAACCAAGAGAAGGACATATCTGGAATAACTAAACTACTTTTGAAACTTGATTTTAAAAGGGCACTGCATAATGGAAATTGAATACTGCTTATCCAAGACTATCCATGAAGAAACACGATGATTCTGGTAGGTATGGAGTACAGGGTGCTGGAGATGCTCTGCCCAGGTAATACTTCCTTCTGGAGACACAAGTCCCTTCCATCTGTTGGAACACTAACCAAGAACAACCAATCAGAACTATTCTGCTCATGCTTTCAGCCTTCTGATTTCACTCACAAAGAAGTTTTCTCATATACTTGTGAAATAAAATCGCACTCTACACTCCCAGGAATCCTGATTCTCACAACACATGACATCTGAGAACTGCTTTGGGGCAGCTTTCAGAAACACTCACCTTCAGGGGAGGAAGAAGAGAGAACACAATACCACGGGGAGGGAGAAGAGAGAACACAACACCACGGGGAGGGAGAAGAGAGAACTCAACACCATGGGGAGGGAGAAGAGAGAACTCAACAAACTGGGGAGGGAGAAGAGAGAACTCAACACCACGGGGAGGGAGAAGAGAGAACTCAACACTATGGGGAGGGAAAAGATAGAACACAACACCATGGGGAGGGAGAAGAGAGAACTCAACACCATGGGGAGGGAGAAGAGAGAACTCAAAACCACGGGGAGGGAGAAGAGAGAACTCAACACCATGGGGAGGGAGAGGAGAGAACTCAACACCATGTGCAGGGAGAAGATGGAACACAACACCAGTGGGGGGAGGGAGAACAGAACACAACACCATGGGGAGGGAGAAGAGAGAACTCAACACCACAGGGAGGGAGAAGAGAGATCACAACACCATGGGGAGGGAGAAGACAGAACACAACACTATGGGGAGGGAGAGAAGAGAAAACAATACCATGGGGAGGGAGAGGAGAGAAAACAACACCATGGGGAGGAAGAAGAGAGAACTCAACACCATGGGGAGGGAGTAGAGAGAACACAACACCAAAGGGAAGGAGAACAGAGAACACAACACCATGATCTTAGAGAAAAAGTTTATTCTCCTCAACATTGCTTTTGACATTTTATTATCCAACAAGTGAGAATAAGAAATAATTTGGTTTCATATCACTTTCAAAAAGCAGTAAGAAAATATCTATTTAGAAAAAGGTCCACTGCTATTTTTTAAAAGATATTAGTCTCATTATAAAAAATGAGAATTCCACCACATGAAACAACATGACCAAAGGTCACCTCTGAGCATCTCTATTCAGATGCAAGTTCTACATCTCATTTTTTTTCAGCAGAAGCCTTTTCTTTTCTGCCCCACCTTCTACCTCCCACCCCATGATGCACGCTCAGCAAGTCCCTCTGCGCCCTAAGTAAGTGCTCCACCACTGAGCTACACTCCCAGCCCTAGGAGAAGCTTTCGTTGGGCCTGCCTAGAAGTACTTCACAATGAACAAAGAGGCCTCTCCTGCTCTCTTTAGATGGCTAAGCAGAGACAGAACAACAGAATCATAAGAATCTAAGAAGAAAGTCAAGCAATATGGCCTGATCTCTAAGACCAATGATCTTTGAGTTATTCAAGCCAGTGTGGAAACTGCACGGGGATCAAGGCAACCAGCAAGGGAGGGAAGTGCACGTCACTGCTTGTTATGCACTTTCACAGACAAACGCCACAGTGACCTTGCCTCACTGCACCAGTAAAAGGTCTCATGAGGAAGGAACCTATATTGTTCATAAGCTAACATGATACTTCCACTTGGTCTTATCTCATTAAAAAAAATCACCTAAGGGAAGAAAAAATAAATGAATTTAATCTGAGCAGAGCAGTGTAACATTCCCACAATGAGTAGCCAGGTCTGCAACTCCACAAGACCCTTGCCATATGGTGGTGCTGCCCTGAGGGTCTGACTTCAGGAATAGCAAGAGACGCTCCTGCTCTTTCCCCTATGGCCTGACCTCACTGTGTCTCACCAGTACTTGAAAGCCATTCTGTAAGTGTCCTTGGCCTTCAAAATTTATCTTTTGATGCTACAAACGGTGCTGGGCCTCACCGTGGGGACACAGGAGTCTTTCAGATAGTAACTGCTCCAGGACCAGAGGGATAACAGCCTGCCTGATAGCAGAGTTTATTAAGGGACAAAGGGCACTGAAAAGTTCTGGTTTCATACAAACAGTTCAAAATAACATGCTCCCTAATGATGACAATCGTATGCCAAACTATCAGAATATATACGGATATAAATTTTAAGGTTATCATCTTCTGTGAGAAACACAGCACACCCCACCTCACTCCACCCCTGTCGAAACAACAATTCTGGCCAATCTTTCACACCACGGGCAAATCTTCTGCTACTTACTTCAGCTCAAGTTTCTGATCCTAGTCACATACTTCTCCGGGGCGGCCGCACTCATTACTGTGGTATAAACTGTGAGACTGAAACAACAGGAGGAATTTATATATATATATATATATATATATATTTATTTATTTATTTATATATTTATATACATTTATGCACACACACACATGGTTCCCCCTAATATTCCAAAAGAAGGCAGAAGCGTCAAGGCCATCCCAAACACCTGGGTTCTAGGACAAGAATACAGACAGAGGCCCATGAAAAGGTTTACAATGTGTAAATCACGAAGTCAAAGTGTACTCTGACAGCACTGTGCAGGCAATGTGCCATTTCAGGTTCTCACAGTCACAGCTCTGTGCTGCAGGCCGTGACAGCCAGCCAGACTCTTACCCGGGCCCTGTCCTGCCCCGCAAGGGGCCTTCATCCTTTAGCCCCTCATCAGGACAGGATGTCCAAGGTGGCTGCCACCACCATCAGAAGACCATGCAGGGGAGAGGACTGTGTTCAGGCTGAGGGTCCCAAGTCCTGAGTCCTTGGACCACACTCTGCATGGGCCTAGCAGTGCATCCTATCAGGGAAAGAACAGCTAGAAGGCTGGAAGTTCAGATGCTCCTGGATAGGTACAAGGAGGACAAGTGTAATGTCACTTGTTCCACATTCTGACAGCAATAGACCCAACAACCTGAGCACTCATGCTAGCCTGCACCCCTGCTCCCTCCTCCTGTGTTGGGAATGTGGGACAGATGCTGCAGCACCAGGACCTGTGGCACTGAGCAGGCAGAGCGGGTTTAAACAGCACTGTGAGCAACATGGAGCTCATTCAACGCATTAGAAGGATCCCTCACTAGGGACAGAGACCGTGGCTACGACTACAGGACTTCACCCACAAGATTTCCTCTTCCTGCGCAGGAGGATGTGAGTTTGAAGCCCAGCACTAGGGGTCAGTGTGGCGCCGAGGTCGTGTGCACAGACAGTTCAGTTAAGCTCACAGCCCTCTGCTGTTCTGCGGTTCAAGGCCTGAGAGTGCGGCGTGTATGCGCCTGGCTCTGCCGTCACTGTCATTTAAGTGCCATTCCTCTCAGCTTTCCAGTCATACCGCTGAGAAAAATGCTACTCAGTAAACTGTCATAACCTCTAAGGATTGTACTATGCAAAACATTTCAGGAGCTGTTGAAATATTCATAGCCTTTCACTCAGTAATCCTACCTCTCGGAATTCAGCGAATGAAAATCAACTGGGGGTGACACCGCACAGATGTGTTTAGTACAGGGTAGTCTTTTCATTTGGTTCTGCGTTTTGTTTGGTTTTTGGTTGTGTTGCTTCTGGGGTTTTGTTTTGCTTTGTTTTGTTTTGTTTTTGCAGCGCTGGGATTGAACTCAAGGCCTCGGGGACACATCCTAGGTGTGACTAACACTGACACTCCAGCCTCGAGCTCAGAGTTGAATGGAGGAAAAGCTAACTAGTGGAGAATACTTACTTAAAATATACCTAACATCATTATGGAGCCATTTAAAATCAAGGCTAGTCAAAGCATAAAAATGCTGTACTTTTAAAAATAAAAGTAATTACTTCATTACAAAACTAGTATTTATAGGGCCAGGGATATAGCTCAGCAGCACAGTGCCTGCCTAGCAAATGCAAGGTCCTCAATTCAATTCCTGGCACCAAAAAAACCAAAAAACCTAGCATTTATAAAATATAGTCATCACTCATGTAACTATAAATGATCAGAACTCAAAGATAGCATTTTAATGCCTACTTTTAAAATAATTATAAGGGCAAAATAGTGCCCCATGGAGGGGCAGAGCCAGCTGTGTGTTGGCACCGCTGGCTCCTAGAGGCCCAGGAGTGGCAACTATTAAATACCCGGAAGCCTGAAATCAGCCGTAGTGGGAGTATGGGTTGAGCATTCTCAATTCAAAAATCCTAACTACAAATGGCTCCAAAACCCAAAACTCTCTGAGTGCCATGTTGTCACTCAAAATGTTTTGGATTTCAGACCACTTGAGATTTCTGGATTAGAGATATTCAACTAGTGTAAAGTCTATGCAGATATTCCAAAAATGAAAAAAACTCTGGAATCTTAAAAACATCTGGTCCCAAGCATGCTGGATATGGAATGTCCCATCTGTGTTTTACAACATGGATACCCACAAACACACACCACGGAGATTTCTTTCCTTCCCCCAAAGCCTAGCTTATTACAAAATACTGGGGATGATTTACTGTCCAAATAGCCTATTAGTTCTTAGAATATTCATTTTTAAAATGAGTCTTCTAAACCACCTTTGTTTTGTTAGAGTTTTGAAGTAATTATGTGACGACTACATTTTTAAATTTTTTATACTACATTTATTTGCTGGGTACAGTGGTGCAGGCCTGTAACAGCCCCCTGGACCCTGAGGTAGAAGGATCGGGAGCGTGGGCCCAGTCTGGGTGACTTAGCCAGAGCCTGTCTCCAGAAAGGGAAGGGGGCTGCAGATGCAGCACTGTGCTAGGACCTTGGGTTTAACCCCCAGCACTGCCGGGGGGTGGGCAGTATTAACAGTGTCTTGTCTGTAATAAAAAACAGCATGGGATGGAGGGTTCCTTGGGAAGCTAACAGAGAAAGAAAGGTGTTAAAAGGTAAGTGCTGACAGAGCCCGGGAAGGGGCTCCCAGCCGGTGCAGGCTGTCACAGCCTGCTGAACCGATGCAGCGCATCACTGCCCTCCCCCTTCTGATTGCTGTCCCTTCAGCCTTTGTCCCTTTGGTTTCCTTCTCCAATTTCGCACCTGACCTGTGATTTACATGTATGTCTCCCCCACCACAGAAGCAGAAACGTCATTTGTCCTCTGTGATCCACAGCTCTACAACACCGGGTCACAGCAGCCCTTACAGCTGGAGAGTCAGAGCGTGTGAGCAAGGTCACCATTCTGTGGTGACAACTGATCAGATGTGCTTACCATGAGACTTACTTGTTATAAACCGGAACCACTGATAAAACCTGCATAGGAAAAATCACAGTAAGAGACTATCAAAAGGTAGATGAAATACATAGGATGAATATAACTACTTAACAGTTTAGTGTATCATGGGGTGGTCACTGTAGACTTTTGAATCTTTGGTTTTCATGCACATGTGTGCGCGTGTGTGTATGCGTGTGAGTGTATATGTGTGTGTGTGTGTGTGTGTGTGTGTGTGTGTGTTTAGCAGGGGGAGGGTACTTGGGATAGAACCCAGGGCCTTTGTATTGAGTTATATCCCTAGCCCTTTTTTAAAATTCTGAGACAAGGTCTCACTAAATGCCAAGGCTGGGCTCAAACTTGCAATCATCCTGCCTCAGCCTCCCATAGTGCCAGGATTTTGAAAAAGATTGGTTCAGGTGGTCTTGAACTTGCTATATAGGTTAGGCCAGGCTTGAATCTTCCTGCCTCAGTCTTCTGAGAGTTAGGATTATAGACATGTATCACCACTCCCAGATGCTCTTTTTTTAAAATTAACAATGAGCATATATTCAAGTATGTCTGTTTTCTTTTAACATGAATAAAAACTTAGGTGGAGACAGGTAAGGATGGATACTTTTTCCTACACAGAAACAAGTACAGAAAATATTGTGGATTTTTAAAAAATATTTTCAACTACATAGAACATTTTACTGTAACATTTTCATCCACCACACTTAACTTCAGAGGAAAATTTTTTCACCACTATTAACTAAGACACAAGTATCCTAGAGAAGCTGACATCACAACACAGCTCACCTGGAACAGGGCCTCCAGACTGAGGTGTGCCTGCCCTGTGGCATTCAGAGCTTTGATGGCAGGCGTTCTGCAGGGACAATAATCATTGTTATGAGGCACTTCTGAATCTCCTTAGCTGCCACATGGGAGGTCCAGTGCAAGGCCCCTTCTTATTTCCCCTTCCCCCAAAGTCTCTGGCTCCCAAGCATATCCTATCTGGGCTAGGACCACTCCAGGGCCGTCACTGGACAGCTGCCCTAGCCCCATGTGCTCCTGAAGGTGGGAACAGCTGCTGCAGAATTGAATCACTGCCACCAAACCCATGAGGCAAAAGCCAAGTGACATGCACACTCACCTCCTCTTTGGGCACACACAGGCTAATGGAACTTTCACAATTAAAAGCGGAAATGAAGGTACTGGGCTGGTTTGTTTAAGGGAAATAATTCTCTTTTTAAAAAAAAGGTCTTCATAGAAGCCTCTGAATCTGGCCCTCTCCCTTGATGTTGCAGGTCAGTCAGCAGAGGCCTGAGGCCACAGGGTGAGTCACAACAGGCTCGTGGTGGGACCCCAAGGGCTCCTGCTCTAAGCTCAGGGCCAACCTGATCCTCCCAGCTCCCACCAACCTCCCCACTGCTCTCTCTACCCAGTACACTCCCCTCCTCCAGTCCAGGCCTTGCCAAGGGGGCCAGGGGCTTTTTCTGGAAGGCGACAGCACATGGAGGTGCTCTAGCCCCTGACCACAAGAAACCCTTGAAAACTAGGAAGTATATAGACGTCTACCTTCGGTCATCTGTCTTAGGCACTGGCTTCCAGTGGTCATAATTTGTCTCAACTCGGAACCACCTGCAACAGAGCACATCGTCTTGTCTTATCCAAGGTCATCTAGGACATAATTACTGAAGAAATACATTCTAGTTTCACCTAAGTAACAAAGAGATTTTATTAAAAATGGCCAGGGAGTGGGCGGGAGCCTTCAGTTCTACTCACGCTCCATTCAAAGGATCTAGAGGCCAAATGTCCGCTGGGCCACCTCTGTCCCTGGTGATGACCACTCCTTCCCCAGGGGCTGTGCCACCGACGATGTAATACACATCAGCAATGAGGGGGGTCTTGGCCAATTTATAAACAGATGCTTCGAAGTCTTCTGACTCACTCAGGGTCTAAACAGAAAGACAGTGTTGGCAATGTCATCCGAGGGAATGTTCACGTCAACTGACGGATACGCGGTCCAAAGCATTCTCTGCTGACATCTGAAGACACGGCCGTAGAGCTGCTCTGACCTTATCCTCTTTCTCCGGGACTCCTGAGAGGGAAGAAACCTCAGCTTCCACTGGGGGGCTAAAAGCGGCTGCACCTTTGCAAGAAAGGACTGCATGTCAACAAGTCCTAGCCCTGGCTCACCAAGCACAGCCAAGTGCTCTCAAGGAGATCATGACACAAAGGACTTCCACACATCTCCACTCTTTTGCTCTTTCGGGGGGGAACAGGGATTCTTGCGTGAATTCCTCCCATGTGTGCGGTCACCACCGCAGTGGGGCGAGAGCAGAACAGCTGACCTGGTCCTTGTTCTGCCCAAACGTCCAAGGAAGACAGAAAAGTCTACCAGCCATGGTGACACTGTAAGAAGCATTGGCACTGGAAATGAAGTGTCCGCCAGGGACCATGCTCACCAGAGTAACAAGAGCTGTGCCCGAAGGGACACGCTGAAGTCAGACTGGGCAGTCAGTCGCAGGAAGAGTCGGGGTGGAAGCAGTGGCAGGGAGTTCTGCCCTGGTGGATTCAGGTGGCAAAGGCATGGCACACAAGGTCATGTGTGACATTGCTGTGAAGAGCCCCCCAGGGGTCCTCACACCAAGGTGCCTCAGTCAGCCACAGGCTGGCAGCATGGACAGTTATCGGAGCACTTTCAAATCCCTCACTTCCTGTGTGCTCTGTGCCTGAGCTGATCTGCTCAAGGTCACTCTGCTGAAGAAGACCGGCCCTTCCTACCTGCACCTTCACAGCCATTCCCCCACCGTGCTTGGAGCGATGTACATTTTATGCTCCTCTGCCTTGAGTGCTGGCAAAGCGCACTGTGCCAGTGGGAGAGGGTTCAGGTTCACACAAAAGAACAAATCTAAATATCAGGCCTGCAACAGCTCCACCACTCAGAACTACAAGCCCACGGCAGGGCTGCGTAACGTTGCCCCGCCTTCATCACATACTGCTGCAGGAGTAGTTTTGGTTTAAGCTGGTTTCTTCTGCACTCAGCAGGATGATACAGGAAAGCAAGGGAGTGATAGGATATTGGTCTGATTATGCTGCCTCATCACTGTCCAACTACCAGTGAAGACTGAGCTTCACAGAGGCAAAGTCAGGAAGGCAGGTGCCTGAACTGTCGCAGAAAACAAGGAGGACATGAGTGACTGCTGACAAGCAAGGGGGTTCTTTCTGAAGGAATAAAAATGTTCTCAGATTGTGATGTAGCCTGTCAACCCTGTGAGTTTTAAAATCACTCAGCTGTAGATGCTAAGTAGGTGAGTTACGTGGTACATGAATTATACCTCAAGAACGTTATCTCCTTATGGCCCACAATTCCATTCTTAGGGACTTATCCAGCTGAAATGAAATGAACACAGATGGTCACAAAAAGATGTGTATGAGAATTTTAACCTTGTAATTCTAGCTCCAAACTGCAAATAACCTAGTGTCCATCCATGGGGAAATGATAAACTGTGGCACAACCCTAGCGAATGTTCCTCAGAAACAGAAATGAGCTGCTGATATGGGCCTGAAACACATGAGGTGATGGGCCTGAAACGCATGAGGCCAGGTCAGAGGAAGAGTCCGCACCCCTCCATGTCTTTCGTTTGAATTCAAGGACAGGCAAATCTTGTCTGTGGCAATAGATGACATCGAAGAGCAGGTATCTGGGGCAGGGAGTGGGCGGGAGCGGAACGGGCATGGGGTGAGGACTGGCTTTAGACAGCACTAGAGAAATTTCCACACTGCAGGGAAGACAGTAGGGGAGCGAGTACTCACAGTGCGGATGAGCCAGCTGACAAGAGCATGTCCCCGGAAAAGGGCACCAATCGCGTTCTCCCACCACCAGCCTTTATCTGCCGAAAGGAGGAGGGAACATAAGGTTGCTGTCCAAGATGCGTACGCTTTTCTTAAATTTTGTTCTTTCCTCATATAATGGGCTGATGGAAGAGCAAGGTCAGTTGATGGACAGTGATTTTACTAGTATCCAGTTTTCAAAGGACACTAATATGCACACAGGTATGAGTACATATACATATATACAATATATACAGATGTTCTCCTAGCAAGCAAAAATATACTTTGTGAAATTTTCAAGAATCTCTTGTACTCTGATACAATGATTATCATGCTAAAATTCTCCTGTTCAAAATTAAATTATGTATCTTCCAAGAGAACTAGTTCAATAAATGTTAGGGGGAATGTAGAGAACTAATATCCTTATAATTATTTTATACCCTTAACACCTTTAAGTTGATTTGTGCTCACATTTTTGGTTGTTGTTTTCTTTTCTAACATTCTTCAGATACACATTCTTTTAAAACTACAAATTTCCAGTCACTCCTCAAATTACTTTTCTCTTAAAAGTTTCTGTAGAGGATTTCCATATAGGAAATAAACAGTGGCAACAAGAGGAAAAAATAAGACAGCTCAGACTTTATTAAAAGTTTAATGATTCTTTGCAGGAAACCAATATCAAAGGAATAAAATAGCAACCCACAGAATGAGAGAAAATGTTTGCAAACTACATATATGATAAAGAATTGGTATCTAACATACATAGAGAACTCCTAAAATTCAACAAGAACAAAAACAAAATTCAAAATGGAGAAAAGACTTGAACAAATATTTCTCCAAAGAAGATATACAAGTGGTCAATAACTGCAAGAGATACTCAACACCACTAGTCATAAGAGAAATACAAATGTGGTATCACCTCATACTCACTGGTTATGATAAAAAGATGCGTGCACACGGATGTGGGGAACTAAGAACACATATACACGTGGGGGGGATATAAAATGGTATAGCCATGGTGGAGAACAGTATGGTAATATCTTGAAAAATTAAAAATAGGATTACCAAGTGATCTAGCAATTTCACTTCCATTTATATTCCCCAAAGTATAAAAGACAGGGTCTTGAACAGACATTAGTACACCTACATTTACAGCACTATTCACAATAGTTAAAACATGGAAGCAACCCAAACAGCTGTCCATTGGAAAAGCAAAATGTGTTTTATACCTACAATGAAACATAATTCAGACTTAACGGAAATAAATTCCAACACACGTCGCCAGATCTTGAGAGCAGTATACTAAGTGAACAAATACTGCGGATTCCCTTTATTATAGGTAGTTAGGAGTATAAGTCAAAGATACAGACAATAGAAAGACGGTCCCAGCAATGGAGGGAGAGAGGACCGGGGAAGTGGTTCATGGGCAGAGCTGTTTCTTTTTTGCAAGATGAAGAGTTACACAGATGGGTGGAGATACTGAATGTAAAACATTATCAGTGTATTTAGTACCACTGAACGGTACACTCAAAAATGGTTAAGATGGTAAACTTTATGTCACATGTACTTTACCATAAACTATGGAGAAAACAAGCTTCAATTGGAAAAAAAATAAGCAGTGAGCATCTATGTACCATATACTGCCTTCGCCCATATCCTTGGAACTTAACAGTAAACAAAGGACACTCGTATGACATTAAATAAGCAACATTTTGATAACTGCAGTAAAAAAAAAAATCTTATAATTGGGACTGATGAGGGAGTGTCTTTTTGGGAGAAGCGTTTTTTGTTTTGGTTTTTTTTTTGTTTTTTTGTCTTTTTGAGACAGGGTCTCGCTATGCAGCTCAGGCTGGCCTTGAGCTCATTTTGTAGCCCAGGCTGGCCTCAAACTCACAAGGATCCTCCTGCCTCAGCCCGGAGCGCTGGGATTACAGGCGTGCGCCACCAATCGGGGTGGGGGTGGGGGGTTGTTTAGACAGCCTTGGAGCTGTCTTCACTGAGCTGCAAGCGTTCCAGACAGGGGGCACAGCTGGAGGCAGGGAGGGGGAGAGGAAATGCGGGGAGGGAGGAGAGCAGTGAAGGGGAGGCACTAAAGGCAGGGCAGGAGACCACCAAGTGGCTTTGCTCTACATGAAATGGTAAGTCTCTATAGGGTTGCGGAGGACATTTTTTGTTTTCTTTTTAATTGACAAATAATTGTATATATTTAAAGGATACAATGTGACATTTCAATACCTGTGCACACTGTGGAATGAACAAATCAGACGATCATATCTATTGTTTCAGATATCATTATTTTTTTGCAGTGAGAACATTTAAAATCCCCTGGCGCCAGGCCTGGTGGCGCACACCTGTAATCCCAGCATTCAGGAGGCTGAGGCAGGAAGATCACCATGAGTGAAACCAGCCTGCGCTACATAGTGAGTTCAAGGCCAGCCTGAAATACAGAGTCAGACCCTGTTTCAAAAAATAAATAAATAAAATAAAATAAAATCCCCTCCTTTAGCAGTTTTGAAATATACTTGACTATAGTCACCATGACTTGACTAGGGACCACCAGAAGTTACTCCTCTGGTCCATCTGAGACTTTGTATCCTCTGAACATTTCTTTTCTGCACCCCTTCCCCCTCTTCCACTCTGGGAATCACTGTTCTATGTTCTTCAATGAGTTCAAAGTTTTAGATTCCACGAAAATGAAGTCACAGGCTTCTTGTCTCTGAGGGCCAGCGGGCTTCAGACAAGGTGACCTCCTGACCTGACCGCTGCAGTTGCTGGATAGGGAAGGGAGTGCAGACGGTGAGGCAGAGCCAGGGGAGCAGCAACCCATCAGGCAGAGCGGGGGAGAATGGCCAGGTGCAGTCTGGCTGGGGACACGGCTGACCACAGGTGGCGGGGTGCCCCCGGCTAGCAGGGTGTTCCTGAGACACGCAGAGTGCAGAGGACAGATCTGGGTGAAGGCACAGTGCAGCAGGAACAGAGGAAATGAAGACAGCAAGAGCCCAGCAGACAGCAAAGGGGAGGGGTGGGGCCCCAGGCGGGGTTCAGAGGTCCCCCTGGAGATGTGACAGGAACAGAGGCTTCAGGCCTTCTTCACCCGTGCCAGGAACTGCCTTGAGTACTTCAAATGCACTAACTCCATTTATGAGTGTGTGAGTGTGTGTGAGTGCACATGCGAGCATATATGGTGCTGGGGACTAAGCCCAGGGCCTTCACACTGAGCTACATCCCCAGCCCTTTTTCGAACTTTTTCAGACCTAGTCTCACTAAGTCATTAAGTTGCCAGGCTGTGTTCGAATTTGCAGTTCTGCCTCAGCCTCCCAAAACACTGAGATTACAGGCCTGCACCCCCACATCCAGCTATATTAAGTCAATTCACCCCCCAAGCAGCTTTTCAGAAGAGAAACCAAAACACAGCAAGGTGATGCCCCATAGCTTCCATTATGCTTAAAATCCACACCCTGCATCATGCCCCTGTGCCATGGCCTCGGTGTCTCCTCCCCCTCTAATGTCCCTACTTCCCACTGTCATCACAGGGACCTGGTTTTGTTTCTAGAATTAACCAAACCCATTCCTGTGTGAGTCCTCTGGAAAAGGCCAGCCCACCTTCTGCAGAGCTGCTGCAGGGGACCCCTGGGGAGGCGTCCCTGATCACCCCCCATATACCCCCCTCAGCCTTTGGCTGGATGTCACCACGGAGACTGCCACTGCCTGCAGGCCTCCTGCCTCCTGCCGGACCAGCACAGAGCCCTCCCAAGGTAGTGCCCTTCCGAGCCTTTTGTCAAGCAAGGGAAGGAGGTACAGGGTCAGGAGTGAACAGGCGGGGTTACTGGGGCTCAGGAGCACTTTCCCCAGTACCTCGCTCATCGCCAGACACTGTGAACTTGCGCGGGCTCTGGCCGGTCCATAATCCCACATAGCCAATAAAAGTGGTTCCCGTGAATGCAACCTGAAACGGAGAGAGGTGTCATTTCACCATGCCAACAGAGATGGACCGAATCACCTACTTCTGTCTTGCAATTTCTTGGATTGTTTTTCTTATAAGTCATGAAAATAACAATAACAATGATCATAATAACACTTCCAAGAAGGTCATGCTAAAAACAAAATAACCTAAACCTAATTTTTTAAAGCCCTTTCACAAGAGTAGTATAGGTCAGTCATGCTTGTAGAAGGAAGCATCTACCACATGCTTTATTTATTTATTTTTTTGGTTTGTTTTTTTTTCTGGTACTGGGAATCGAACTCACAACCTTCCGTTTGCCAGGCAGATGCTGTGCCACTGAGCTAAATCCCCAGCCCCCTACCACACACTTTACATGCATGATTGCATTTAACCTTGATAAATATGGCAACCACACAGGTATGAACCCCTCTGAGCTTACTCTACAAAAATAGGCAGGCATCATTCTCCAGGTTCACAAAGGGAGGGACAGAAGCATGATTCAAAGCCAGGACTGTGAGACTCAAAGCGGTCACTGCAGTCCCTGGGCCTCCCTGTTCTGGATGAGCCTGAGCACAGACAGGGAGTGGACAACACATAGCAGGTGGAAGACTCATCAGACACCAGAAGCGATTTCCCTAAAGAACATTGGCTGAGCTCAAGTCAATACTGAATAACAATAAATGACCCTTCTTCTTATAAAATAATTGATGTACACCTCTCTCCTGGTTTGTATCTTACAGTGGTAACAGACTTACCGTATTTCCCCCAAAATAAGACTTAACAGGAAAATAAGCCCTAGCATGAATTTTCAGGGTGCTCATAATAGAAGCCCTACCCAAAAAAAACCCCAGTTAAGAGGCTCAGCCAGAGAGATGCATTCAGTATATCCACTGCAACACACGACGGACACACTGACATACAAAGTAATATTAACATATACTTAAAATCATTGACAGATGTGTTGCCAATATAGTGTGAGTAGGCTTCATGGGCAAGAAGTGCTCACTCAGGAGGGGCTGGACTGCTCGATGTGAGGGACTGGGGCCAGCAGTTCTACAGGAAATGGAGCTGCAAAAAATTCAGGCCCGAAGTCAGGGTTTGGAGGGTTACGATGATGTTCCAGAAGATGAGATGCTGTATCTGAATAAATGTAGATTTTTACACATGAATAAATGTAGATTTTGTACATAAATTAATGAATGTAGATTGTTGTATGTGGAAAAAAAGGAAACATCTGTTGAAAATAAGCCCTATCACATCTTTTGGAGCAAAAATTCATATAAGAATTCATATAAGTCTTATTTCCAGGGAGAGTCAGTAATTAGCAGGCCACCTAAATGACTGCTGGTCTGACCAGGAAAAGTGCTTTGGACTCTGTTCTGACACAGCACGAACCATACCTGCCCATTCTTTACGAACTGCACATCCACCGTCAGTTTGCGTAGGAGATCCCCAAAAGGATAGTCCAGATTCCGACCATGATAAATGCGGCCCCTGGTGTCTTGGGCTACAACACTGGTACAGAATCTGAGAAGGAGAAATGCCCAATGTAAATGAGGAACAAGAACAAAGAAAATGGGTTTTTCATTTTTAAAACAAGGGCTCAAAGTTACAGGGTACTTTTTCTTATAGTTGACATATATGCTATAATTGTTACACAAAACTATGCAGTCACAGTTCAAGCTGAAAAGTACACATACAACTCATCTGCTCACTCAGTGTTACCCAGCCCAGCCCAGGCCCTCGCACCACAGACAGCACCACAAACATTGACCGTGAGAATTTCCTTTTCAATCACTTCCTTTGTTTTTAAACAGTCTTACTATTCAGCCCAGGCTGGCCTCAAGCTTGTGATCCTCCTCCCTCAGCCTCTGGACTGCTGGGATTACAAGCACACACTACATACCTGGATTTCAACCACTTCCTTGTGAAACCAATGCTGGGCTCAGTTGGACCTCTGAACTCTGCTTATCTCTCAGCCTGGCAGTAAATATCCTACCTAAAACTTTATTCAAAGCTAGTTAGGCCTACTTCTCCACAATATAAATTTTGCAGACTATGTTCAATGATATTAAATCATTCATTTCTACAATGCTTCATTTTGTTCCCTTGGGAAAACAGTTGATTCTTTAGGGGTTTGGTACTATTTCTGTCCCTCTCAGAGTGCCTTCCTCATAGGTAGTAAGAGAAAAGGATTTTTAAACAACTTCAGACTCAGGTGGGCATGGCGATGCACACCTGTAATTCCAGCACAAGAAGTGTAGCTAGCATCATTCTGACTCGAACAGCCTTCCTTCCATTATGAGAACTAAGCATCACTTTGTGCAGGACATGGTGCCACATACCTGTAATTGCAGCACTCCAGAGGCTGAGGCAGGAGAATTGCAAATCCAACCCTGGACAGCCTGAACAACTTAGTGATTTAGGGAGAGCCTGTCTCACTTCTGAGTAACAGGACTGTGATGAGCTTCTTCTTTACACTTTCCTGTACTGCTGATTTTCTGCAATGGTCACATACCACTTTTATAATCAGGTGAAAAAGTGTTACTTAGGTTTGTTTGGGGGGGTTTTTTTGGTATGTTTAAAGAAGGCGGCTTGGTCCGGTTTCAATGCCTCCTAAGGTTTCTTCAAAGAGCTTGCTGTGGAGGGAGGTGGGGACTGACACATACGGGAAGGGACTAAAGCAAAGTCTGCAGAGTCACTCTGGAAGGTGGCCTTTCAAAGTTGGCCAGAGATCCATGCTTCCACCTCATGCCCAGATGCTGTAGGGTAACTCAGTGCACCAGCACAGGGCCCGGGGGGACATGGGCTCTGCTGTGGGAAAGGCACTGCAGGGCACTGGAGACCCTTGTGCTTTTAGCAGCACCGCTGGAACTCACCAGCCAGGAAACTGCTAGCAAGCTGTCCCTTCTGGGCTTGGTTTCCAAGTCACAAAACAGAAATACCATCTTTCTCTGGGGCTATGTTCACAAAGTGCCTGGTACCCAGCAGAATCAACAGAACATAGCTAGTATTATTCTGACTCAAACAGCCTTCCTTCCAAATTAAGAACTGAGCATTGCTTTGTGCTGGGCATGGTGCCACACACCTGTAATCTCGGCATTCTAACACTGAGGGCAGGAAAATCCTGAGTTTGAGGCCAGCCAGGGCTATACAGTGAGACCCTGTCTCAAAAAATCAAGCCAAGAAACCTACAAAACAAAACAAACAAGCAAAGGAAAACCATTTCCTTTCTTAATGCTAGTGGCATCTGATGGTGTTTTATGTTATGAGGCAATTTAATAAATACCTTAATCTGCATCTGGAAGTTAGTTTTTTTACTAGCATTTTTGCTTTAATCTGCTTAAATAGTGACTCCAAACAAGAATGAAAACGATCAGTCATTTTTCATTGAGAAAGTCTTTGATCAGAATAGGACAATTTAGTTCAACTGAAAAGTACTTTAACTGATGTGGCCATCACTCTTGTGTCAGAAAGCATCTCCCTAAACGGAAGGGCAGTTCCCGTGCTTCCTAACTTACTCTCTCTAGGTGTTCTTGGAAGATGCCAGAAGCAGTACTGTAATTTTTATTATCCCAAGAGCTTCCCCATCTTCATCCTTAGGCAGCCTGAAGCTGGGAGGATCTGCAAGATGTTACTACACGAGGTGGCTGCACAGTAAGTGGCCCAGGCAGAAGCCAGGTCAAACCTCCCTGGATACCGGATACTAGAAACACTTAAGAGTGGCCCTGCGCTGTGCTGGGTCCAACCGCACTCCCCGCATTGTCCGGCTTTGGGTGCCCACACTGCAGACCACCCTGGCTTTGTTAGAGCAGAGCTCCCTGTGAGCCTGGTCCTGGTGGAAGCTGACCCTGCAAGAGTAGTCAGTCACCAGCCAGGACAGATGTGAAGGATACACCTAGCGGGATAAAGGGTGCAGGATGGCCTGATGTGGGGACTAGCTGAGGGTCGCTGGCTAGCCGAGGATCCCATGAGAGAAAGCCACTTCAAACACTTCCGGGACAGTACAATTTGAGCAGTTTGGGAGTAGGGTACTACTTGTGGAGTGGAGAGAGGGCAGCGGCTTGGGGCAGAGGGAAGCTGCTCTTGCTGGAAGCTTAGGGACTGCTGCTCAAACTTCCCGAGAGGTCAGGAGGAAGTCACGCCCTTATTTTCATAGCACTGAGAACACACATCTCCTCCCTCCCAGCAGAGCCTGCGTCCAACCCTGCGCCCTGGCACTCACGCAGAGGATTCGTAGGCCAGGTTGACCAGGAGGCCGTCAGCCAGGCTGAGGTTCAGGAACTCGCTCATGCCACGGATCTCCTCCGTGAAGGGCTGAGGCAGGAAGCTCTCCATTTCTGCCACCAGCTCTCCGATCACCCCGAGGACCCACCTGGGGACTCTGTCGCTGGAAAAGAAAGCACAGTGTGTGCGGCTTGCTCGGAGGAAGGAGCGGGCCGAGGGAGTGTGAAATGCCTCCGCCGCTGACGTCTAGGAGCGAGAGGCAAAGTCGAGGAGGCTGAGCCCAGGGCCGTTGCTGCGGACGCAGGGCCCGCTGTGGGTGTGCAGGCTGCACCCCATGGACCAACGCAGGCGCGCACCCGGAACCCCGAGCCCGACAGCTGGGCCGTCCTCCGTCCCGCAGACCGCGCGGCTCACCCCACGATCCGCGCCACTGCGGCGCGCACCAGGCCCGGGTCGAAGAGGCGCAGAGCTGGCAGCCAGCGCTCGGCGGGCGCCGCATCCAGGCTCACGTTGACGCGCGGCGGCGCGGGG